GGCTGGTCTTTGGAGTTCTTGAAACTCAGGGCTTGTTTATCACTGCAAAACGAGGAAAACAGCCTCCCTGAAAAAGGGGAGTCGACAGAGAGGGGCCTGGGTCTCTCTTTGAGACCTTTTAACCAATCAGCAAAGGGAAGGAGAGAGTTCAGTTTGCTCATCTTAGCAAGTCTGGGGCCTTCTGAGACATCCTGTCCCTCATCAAAGAGTCAGTGCCAGGTGTGAAGGGTCACTAGGACCCGAGGCTCGCAGCAAGGAGTCCAGTACCTGCCGGTGCACTAACCGGCCACACCAAGGAGTCCAACAGGGAGCCCGGCCTTGCCTGCCCGGGCTGAGTTTGAATCCTGGTTCTGCTTTGAACTTTCCGGACAAACCACTTCATTTCTCTCCAGCCTCACTTTCTTGTAATGGAATCAGTTCTCTTGAGGCCTCGCAGTGAGCATCACGGGGGCCATATGTGCAAAGCCGGCAGCCTCGTGTCTGCTCTGCAGCAAGCGACACATGGCAGCTGCCATCATCGCTTCCAGGGAGGTACGTGGCCTGGGCGCCAGCTGCTGTGGGGCCCTCTGCCCGTGCCCTTGCCAGCTCAGGACTCTAGACGTCCAGTAGGCTCCATTTATTCCGTATTACCTGGTTTGCTTCTGGAGGGAGAGGGATGAATTTATCTTTGTGCTGCCTACAAGTTCAGACTTGCCTCCTCCTGGCCCTTTTCCTGTTTCGGAAGCTCCTCGGTACAGCAGGGAGGGGTCTTGCTTGTGAGAGAGTGCTTTCCACACGCCAAGAGGGTCCTGGTTAAGAATTAAAACTCTGCTCAGTGCTCCGTATCTCTGTGCTGCTCACCTCACTTACTACCAGCTGCATGCAGCCTTGAGATGTGCTGTAAGAGTAAACGAATACATCCTGGATTTTAAGGACTTCATGCAAAAAAGGCAAAACATTCTCTTAATTTTATGTAGTGACTTATGTGTCGGAGTGATGACATTTTGGATATACATAAAATTTACATAAAATATTTGTTTTTTTTTAGTGTGGCTCCTGGAAAATGTTAAAGTGCATATGTGGGTCATGTTAACATTTATGATAAAAGTAATAATACATGATTTGACTAAGTGCCAGAGACATCTAAGTAAACAGTGGTTACTGTCACCTTTGAGAGGGGTTACTGTTACTTACCTTCATGCACATCTCCTGATGGCCTATGAAGATTTCACTTTTTCGAAGTGTGGAGTAAAACTGTGTTACACTTTTATTTATACAGCTCACCTGCTACATAACTGCTGTGGGGAAGGTGCTGTGGTTGGCATTATGGAGAGGAGAAGGCATTGGTGAAAGTGGAGAATTCATCTCATGCCTTAGCTAAAATGTTAAAGATGTGGCATAAATTCAATAAATATTTGTTCGATGAGGGAGAAGAGGGCATATGTGGCTCACATGATATTCCTGTTGGACAGTGCTTATTGATACACATTATGTGTTTTCAGTCTCAAAGTAACCATGTGAGGTGGGTGGGTTTATTACCATTTCACAGATGCGGAAACTGAGGCTAGGAGCCGTGAAGCCACTTTGAGCGAAGTCAAAGCTAAGAGACAGGATTCCTGACCCCACCGCCTATGTGATTGCTTTTGGCCCTCCTACCGAATGTAAGGGATGGATGAGTTGACCTTGTGCTGTATGCACCCTGTATGTCAGCTGATTCTGGTGTTGGTGGCCAGTGGGTTTTCACTGCGGGCTAGATTTTTTGGGGGGCCTTTCGTCTTTAGGAGCCCCAAAACATTGCCATTCATTTATGTTAAGACCACATGCCAGGGAGACAGCAATCACAGCAGACCGAGCATAGAACTGGAATCAGGAGCCGCAAGTTCTAGGCCTGGATTCTCTGTGTGACCTTGGGCAGGTCATCTCGGGGCCTCCTCACCTGAAAAATGAGAGGCAGGGACTCGATGACTCTCTCTCGCTGTGATGGTCATAATCCCATTGTCAAAATCCCTGTGGCTCAGGTGTCATGGCTTATAGGTTCACCTGAGCTTGGAGATCTTTTCTGAGAGTGTTACTGAAAGGCTCAGAAATTCTGGCTATGCAACCGAGAAATTCAAATTACCAACTATCACAGGAAGAAGCTGGCTCTGAATGGCCAGTGTGCGTGTGTATGATATATTATATATATGTATATTATATATCATACACACACATCTATATATACTTAGATATACATATATGTGCCTATATATACATATACACATAATTATATATATGACAGCTAAAGTTTCCTCATCTGCAAAATGGTAATAATAAGTTTCATGCATGCACATGCTATACATATATATATATATCTTTCTCTTTAAATATATATATATATAGAGAGAGAGAGACATATATAGCATGTGTGTCTATGAGACTTTAGCTAAGCTTTTTTTTCACATACCTCAAATATGTTTGGAATGTAGCTGATTTAGAATAAGTAAATATATTTTTAGAAAGTTTTAAAGTAGAAGTGAGGAGATCTTAAACTCCTAACTTCCCAGTTTATTTTTTTATGTTTATTTTTTTGGAAAAGACAACCTATATTTAGCCTCTTCCCTCTGCTGACTGCTGGTAATTCCCCTTTAGGAAAAAGATCTCAGATACGCAGTGTGCTAACCAGGATGCCTCATAATAGAGTGGGAGGAATAGTCAGACAATGTGACTTTCTGACCTGGCCTCTGACTCCATCACTCAGGTGTTGGAGGACTGGGGTCTGTGGTTGTTTGCTGCGCCTGAATACAGAGCTGTAAGATGGGGACAGCCATTGTCACCACAAAGGAAGTAAGATACAGTGTGGAGTAGCTACTCACTCTCTCTCCCCTCAGCCCCCACCCCTGCACACGTGCACACATGCACCCCATATACAAGCACATGCACAAACCCATAAAAGCATGTGCGTGTGTATGCATACACACACGCACATGCGTACGAGAGGCAAGCATAGCTGGTCCATTCACTCGACTCAGATGGGCAGTTGAAAAGGAAATGAAATTTGCCTGAAACATACTGAAACATTCACTTGACTAAAGCAAATGGCCCATTAAATTGAGCTCATCCAATCGTCAGTAGAGTCAGCCCCGAACCACATCTTGTTTGGCCAATGCTCCTTAAACGTTTTCTTTTCCCCTAAACAATTATGTCAGCTGATCTTGCGAGCCCCTTCTTCAGCATCTGCAATCCTCTAAAGATTTGCCGCTATTTAATTCCTTGTTCTTTAATCCACATTTTTCCAAACAGCTAACGTAGTTGATGTCTGAAGGAGGTAGATCAGTTGGTTTGATCATAAAAATGGAAACCCTGATGTGGTTCTTTGCTTACACATTCTGGACAAGTTTTAAACTAATTAAGTGAATTTTAAGCCTGGTATAAAGAAGATGACGGGCCCTCTTGATGGAGAACATTTTTATTGGCTCTGTAAATCCCACAGTCCCTAAACCTGGCCTGTCTCCAACTGATGGACCCCTAAGTGTGTTTACATAGGGATTAATCAAAAGACAGCTTCCAACCCCCTCTTTCTGGGAGAGGGACAGACACAGGCTGTGTGTATCAGCTCCCTAAAGACATGAACCATGGCGCATCTGCCTTTGGGAACGCCATGCCATCCTGCCCAGCACTGCCTGTGTCCCGGAGGGGCTCGAATGCCTAAAAGAGATAAATCTCAGATGGGTAAAGAAGAAAAAGCGTAAAGAAGGCAGAGTTTGGAAATAGAGCCCTGAGTTTAGAGGTTTGAATTTGGGCTCTGAGTTTTTGTGTTCTTGAGCAAGGCTCTCATCTATAACTGCCTACCTTCCAACCTTACACCGTAGGGTTGTGGTGACAACAGACTGAACAGACTACAAGACCACTTTATAAAAAGTAAGGCTTTGCATGCATGAAGACTTTTTGCTCTTTCTAGTAACCTCACCTGTTTATCCCCACTGAGAACATTTCCTCTACTGTGAAGCCATCCCAAAACGTTCCAGGTGAACCGAATGAACATATGCCCTCACAGCACCCTTCCTAAACGAAATCATAGCACATATCATGCCGATGGCTATGATCAGGTGGCACCAGTGAACCTTTCCCAATTTTGTGCTGCAATGCAAGACACCCCCAATCTCAATGGCTGCAGACCACAAGGACGCGTTCTCACTCGAGTGGGGATGTCTGTGCCGCACACAGTGGGCTTGTGGGATGACTCTGCCGTACCTCTGCTGTCTTTCTCCTGGGACCATCAGCTGGCCAGGGTACATTCTTTTCATGGTGATGGGGCAAAAGTGCAAGATGACAAGTAGTAACACACGAGGCCTCTTAGTACCTAGACTGGGGACCAGGACATTGTCGTTTCTGCCCACATGCCATTGGCCAAACCCAAATCACATTGTGGGTAAACACACTCTCCCACAATGCGGCCATAGGAAGAATTGGATGCAGGGAGGGGTGAAGAATTGGGCTAAACAATCAGTCTTCCATACAGGTTCACCTGCCCCTCTGCCTGTGGCTGGCAGGTTGTCGATATTTCAGTGATGTCTGCTGAGATCCAAAAGACCTTTCCAACCCTTTGCTTTATAGCAGAGTTTGGTAAACTATGCTGTGGGGCCAAATCTCTCTGTTTTTGTGCAGAAAACTAAACATAAATTATTGAGAAAGAAAAAGAATATTTAATGATGTATGAAATTATAGGAAATTCGGATTTCTGTGTCCACAAATAAAGCTTTATTGAGACACAAGCACACACACTCATTCCTCTGTGTATCGTCTGGCTGCTTTAGAGCAGGACAGCAAGCACCCTTGGAGCTGCCATAGAGACCACATGTCCTGCGCAGCCTGAAACATTACCATGTGGCCCTGCACAGAAACTGTTTGCCACCCTCTGCTTTACTGGATCAAGAAACCCAGAGTCCCAGGGAGGCGAATGCCTTGCCCAAGGCTACTGAGTTGTCAGCTCCATGAAGCCTGTGTGGATGTGGGGTTAATACTGTCCCCTCTTTGTTTCCTAGTAATTGGCAGCCTGTGACACCCATGCGCCACTGATCAGGAGGCATTACCTGCTGCAGCGCTTCATGACCCAGCGACGTCCGGCCCAGTGAAGCCACCGTAGTGTCCGGCATGGCCGCGCTCCTCCTGGGCGCGGTGCTGCTGGTGGCGCAGCTGCAGCTAGTGCCTTCCCGCCCCGCCGCTGCCGGGGCCGAGCCGGGCCCGCAGGAACTCGTGCGGAAAGCGGCCACCCTCCAGGACCAGGGCCCCGACGGCGCGGCCCCCAACGGCTCGGCCCAGCAGCTGCCGCAGACCATCATCATCGGCGTGCGCAAGGGCGGCACGCGCGCGCTGCTGGAGATGCTCAGCCTGCACCCCGACGTGGCAGCCGCGGAGAACGAGGTGCACTTCTTCGACTGGGAGGAGCATTACAGCCAGGGCCTGGGCTGGTACCTCAGCCAGATGCCCCTCTCCGTCCCGCACCAGCTCACCGTGGAAAAGACTCCCGCGTACTTCACGTCGCCCAAAGTGCCTGAGCGGGTCCACAGCATGAACCCGGCCATCCGGCTGCTGCTCATCCTGCGGGACCCGTCGGAGCGCGTGCTGTCCGACTACACGCAAGTGCTCTACAACCACATGCAGAAGCGCAAGCCCTACCCGTCCATCGAGGAGTTCCTGGTGCGCGACGGCCGGCTCAACGTGGACTACAAGGCGCTCAACCGCAGCCTCTACCACGTGCACATGCGCACCTGGCTGCGCTACTTCCCACGGCGCCACATCCACATCGTGGACGGCGACCGCCTCATCAGGGACCCTTTCCCCGAGATCCAGAAGGTCGAGCGGTTCCTGAGGCTGTCGCCGCAGATCAACGCCTCGAACTTCTACTTTAACAAAACCAAGGGCTTTTACTGCCTGCGGGACAGCGGCCGGGACCGCTGCTTACACGAGTCCAAAGGCCGCGCGCACCCCCAAGTGGACCCCAAACTCCTCCACAAACTGCACGAATATTTTCACGAGCCAAATAAGAAATTCTTTGAGCTTGTCGGCAGAACATTCGACTGGCACTGATGGGCACTAAGCTAGGCTTGGGACCTTTCCTGTTGTAAGTTTCTGGTGTACATCTAGGGGGATAAAAAGGAGAATTTTAAAAGGGCATTTAAGCTATAATTTATTTGTAAAATCCATAAATTACTTCTGTACAGTATTAGAGTCACAATTGCCATATATACTAGTTATATTTTTCTACTTGTTAAATTGAGGGCATTTTGTATTGGTTTTCATGGTTGTTAACATTGTGTAATATGTCTCTATATGAAGGAACTAAAACGTTTCACTGCAAAACAAACAAACAAAAAAATCCTGGAGACGCTATCTTTTTGAATATACTTAACTTGCCCCCAACTCAAAATAGCTGTTTGTGTTGCTCTCATTGGAGAATCTATATTCCTTTGTTACTTAAAAAAGGAAAAAAAAAAGTTTTCATGGCTATTATGTTTGTTTTTACCCCTCTCCTTTCTTCATTGTTCTTTTTAATTTTTAATGTGTTGCTGTGGTCATCAGATTTATTTTTCACTTGCATGGTAAGATTTATCTTCACTGAGATCCCCTGTTATTCTTGAAGGAGGCAGTTGCACCCACTCCTGACTTCAGGTACCTGAGTGTGGATTTTAACCCCATGTAAACTCACAATGGACAAAGCAAGATGCCTGCCACGCATCTTTGCCTCAGAGCGCTTGCATATATTTCTGACCTCTGCAATGGGCAAAACCTACAATAAAGGCAGATGAATCCTGCAATAAAGGGGATTAAAGCATTGGCCTTAAGAATGACCTTGGGACTGTGTACTTTGCCCCAGGTGGCAATGGGTCTCTGCAAAGCCACTTAGGATAGAAAAGAGGAATTGAGAATGTATGTGTCCCCATCTTGTAGAATCTGTGAGCAGCTGAGCAAAGGAGTAGCCTTTTGCTTAGGTGAGTGTCTATCCATTTCCTGAAAGCTATAAATTATATGCATTTATATACATATGTTCCATCTGCCTTGAGACATAGATATGTGTATGTTTAAAGATCAACTCCGAATTTGGAGTCCTGAAGGTAGAAGAAAACTTCAACTCCCGAGGGTTCAAGTCGTGAGGAGAAAAGCACAGAGCACAGAGTAGTGTGCACCTGTGCCTACACGTGAGAGGCCAGGTTCAGTTTCACTTCTGCCCCTGAGCAGCGGGATTGTTGGAGGAGCCTCCGGTTCCTCGTGCTGTCTTCCTTCAGTCAGCCTTCCACAGGATTAAATAAATTGGATTTTTTTTTCTGATGAAATCAAAACATATTCATTATGGTAAAGTGAAAAATACGAACAAGCAAAATAAAGCTGTTTTCTGACATCATTTATACTTAAGGCAGGGGAGTGAAATGGACATTATTGATCATCAGCATACAAGAAAGAGCTCATTGAAATTTTTCCCCAAGCAACCTCAGGAAGTAGGAATTATTATGGCAAGTTCAAAGAGGAGGAAATAAGCACGAAGAAGATAAGGAACTTGCTCAACTTCACACTGGTGATAAGCCAGGGCTTAGACTCCATATATAGCTGAAGCACAGGTTTTGGGTTGTTTTTCTGTTTGGTTTTGTTTTTCTACCCAAATTCTTTCCTAACTCAAAAAGAAAGACCCAGACTCAGAAACAGTTCTTGCCTACTTATCCTGATGGATCTCTTCCCTGGTGCCAAAGGTCTTCCATCCGAAGGGGTGTGCCTGAGCCTGAGGAAAGAGGCAAGAATGAGCCTGCATTCTTCTCAGCGGTGCTATCAGGGAAGTGAGTCACCTTGGTTCTGTTTCAGCAGCTGCAGCCCAGCCTGACCTTAGCATGGCCCACGCCCTACCCCAGGCCCTGCACGGACAGTCTTCCTCTTCTGAACCCACTCAGGTTGTCATTAACATACAGCTCCCCAGAGGGCATGGCAGAAATCCTTGTAGCAGGCTTGCCCTGGACACGGGATGTTGCAGTCTGCAGAGCTCTTCCCGCTGCAGCCTCCCTGGGTCTTGCTGTTCTTGCCCCCATTTAAGAGCTGAAGAAACGAAAGGCCCAGAAAGCTCGTATCACGTTTCCTAGGCCACCCAGGTTCTTGGTGACTGAGTGGAGACTCCAATGTGAGTTTTCTGACTCCCAAGAGGACGGCCTTTGCAAAATCCCTATGAATGCCTGTGGCCTCAGGGGGATTGTACGCTGGAGGCATGGACTGTTGGGGCAAGAGGTGGTGGGTAGGAATGAAGGAAGGAGGGGCCGGGCGCTAGGGACATGGTCTAGCTGCTGGGGCTGGCACAGTTGATGGTAGGGGGTGGTCCAATGTAACATGATCGGTGAGTATAAATCCAGTAATTGTCGATTTGGGGATTCAGGGTCTTGACTAAGGATGTGTTCATGGAGGTCTGCCATGGGCAAAGGGTTGGGATCCTAGTAGCTATGTCTATTTATCCATTTATGGTTCAACTCCAGCCTGCCATTTGGAAGGTACAAGGACTAAGAACCCATCACTCCAGACCTAGCCCAGGCAATGTAGATTTCATCTGAACACTGTCAAATTCAGAGGATGCCCTGCAGTTGGAACTATACCACTTTCAGAGGGGCCAAATGCCATGATTCAGGAGCCAGATGGGTACATGGGCCCTCCCCAAATGCACCTAATACCAATTCTACTCAATAAAGAGATGCCAACTGGAGGGAGTGAGGTTCCTGCCCCAAACGGCTCAGGCCCAGGGGCAACCTGGGAACCTTTGGAGAGGAGCTGAGAGCAGCTGAGCAGAGCCTCAGCTACTGTGTTTAGAATATTGACTGCACTTGGTACTCTGAGTCAAGGCAGCCCCTTCCTCCAGGAATCAGATAGTGCTGAACTGTTAACACAGGCTATCAGCTCATAGCCTGAAAATGTTCTAGTTCAGCAAGAATGACGATGTGTCTCTGATCAGAGGGTGCCTTCTCTTTCCATCCTGGGAGAGACTACAGGGAGACATAGGGCAGATGAGACCAGTGCCCAGGGTGCCTGCTACTTATAGGGGTGGCATCAGAGATCACAGCAAGGGTCCAGACAGTCACTAAAATTGTAGTTTTATTTTGAGCCCCTACTCTGTGCTTAGCATGTTATTAAGCTCTGAGGAGTATAAAAGAAAATGCAACAAGAACCAGTAGTTATTCACAGCTCTGGGTTTAAATAAAAAAAGACAGAGGGGCTAGGAAGGCAGGGGAAACGCCATTTTTTAACTGTGTGTGAACTGGCCAGTGCAGTGTGTTCTCATTTAATTCAGGAACATCCCTGGGAGGAATCAACTAGCCCCATTATAGAGACGGGGACACTGAGGTATAACAATTGACAAATGGACCTGCCCTCATTGCTTTAGAAGAAAGAGAGGACTGCAACTCACGCTGGAGGGCTGGTTGTCCTGGAGATGGGGAATGTTGGCCCTGAGGATTGTAAACAGGTGTGAGATGACAGAGACGTCCCTCAAAATGCCATTAGTCGGGAGTAGTAAGAGATGAAGCATCTTCCCAAAGGTCACGTGGCAGAACTAGGACCCAGCTCACTTAACTTGCGGACCTCAGGGACCCGCCTCTTTCCACAGGAAGGCTTCTCGGAGGATGTGCTATGGAGCTGGAACACGAAGGGCCATGGAGGTAACTACAGCAGGGCATTCGGGGCAAAGATGGCTTGAGGAATTGAGACAGTGGTGATGGGGTAGAGGAAGGACATAGGGACAAGCTGCCAAAAGACTTGTCTATGGGGCACGCGAATGGGTTAAACACACTGAGAACTCACTATGTGCCAGAGACTTGTGGCCTTGCATCTATTTTCTGACTGCCGGAAGCTTACTTCGCAGGCACCTGAGCATCTCTGTCTACTGTGCAGGTGTGTCTGTCACATAAAAGTAACTATCGTTTGTTGCACACCAGTTATGTGTGTGGTATTTTAAATATGTTGCTTCTAATCCACATGATAATTCTAAATAGGAAAGGGCATAGTACTAATTTTACAGAGGCAGAAACTCTAACTCAGAAATTCAAGGTTCGTGCCTGATGGCAGAACCATTGATTGTTACAACAGGGATTTTGTCCCTAGCGTCCACGCAGCCGCGGGGAAGGAGAGAAAGAAATGTTGCATAAGCATCTATTAGGCAGAGCCTGTCAGGGAAAGGATGGCATCCAGGATGCCCGGAGTTATACCAGATGGTTAAGCAAAAGACTGGCTGAGACGCGATACAACAGGCGCATGGCAACGCGTGCTCCTTCCTGACCAAAGTTCATGGAGGAAATCCGAGCTTGAGCTAAAGACCAGAGCAACATAATGGTGCTCTCCAAATGGCCGACAAGGAGTGAGGACCAAGCTACAGACACTCTGATTGGCTGGCTTGACTGAAGTATTTAGGACATGGCCTTGGTTCTTCAGCTCCCCCTGATGCCAAGATCTTGACTCCATTTTTCCCCAGTTTCCCAGTTAGGTAACCTGAGAGAAAAAGCAATTAGAGCTAGGAGACCTGGGTGTGAATCCCGACTCCATGGGTTGATGATCGGCCATGCGGCCTTAGGCTTACATTCTCAGCACCTCCATTTCCTTCTCAATCTAAATGGGCTGATGTTTACTTAACTCTGTTTTTGGGGGGGGGCATTGATGAGATAAAATAGGTCCAAACTACAAGCTCATTGGGTATGTGGCTTAGTGGTTAAGAATGTTTAAGACTTGAGGAGACAAACCAGACTGGTTGTGAAGCAGACAGCAGGCACCCGTTGCCTTCGTTTTCCCATCTGCAGGACTGTGGCCATGGCTGCTAGTGTCCCATCCAGATCCCATTCACCAGGGACGTGCCCCCACCACCACCACCAGAAGAGATGGTGGCGACTGGCCCGCCTTCTGCTGTTTTTCTGGAGAATGTCCCTTAGCTGCCTTACCTAGAGGTGCCTGGGAAGCTAGGCCTGCCATGCGCTCCCCTTTCCTTGGGGTTGCCTGTGACTAATGACTGACTGATGTGAGATGGGGGGCTGGTTGAGGTTGTAGGGTAGCAGCCCAGCTTCCTGGCCTCTGGGCAGACAACCTCTATGGTGCAACCCAGGCTCCAGAGCTGCTTGTGGGTCAGGCTGAGGCCAGAGCCCTCCTGACACCACACTTTTGCCTAGTTTCTTCCCCTCCTTTGTCCTGTGTCCCCATTGCCTTCCTCATTTCTTCTGTGACTCATTCTCAGCAAATGACTCGCCCAAGAATATAGGGACCTGCATCTCAGGCTTTGCTTCTAGTGCATCTCATCTAACAGCGTCAACTTGCTTAAATACCGGTATCTTATTCTCTCTGAATTTCATATGGATAATGTGACCAACCCACAAGTTTATTATAATTCTTCCAATTAAACAAGAGACAGTAGGAAATGAGTCTATTTTATTGGTTAACCCATAAACGTGCTAAATACAATAGTAGATACAATTCTCACCAAGGAGTAGTTTTTTATTTGGCTTATTAGACTGTCAATGTAGTATTAATGCATCAGTATCAGACTTCAGCTCCACCTTCAAGAAGTCTTTCTGGTTCCCACAGATAGAAAGGCATCGCTCCATCCTACTTATGTTATAGGGCATTGTATCTGTGTTGTTGGATAAGTATTTTATTTAGAGCCAGTAGATGAGGGTTTCTTCCTCTTGATTGCAGCACCTGGCACCTAGCAGTGCCTGGCATATGGCAGATGAAAAGTACTTGTGTGTGGATTGAGTCATAACTTTAGTCCAGTTGTCAGTCTGATATGAAAAGCTTTTTTGCTATATCCCAGCCCTGTGACCGGTCTGACTTCCTGGGAATACCATCTCTGGACCAGCCACTGCTAGTACGTTACATTGTACTGTCTTATTTAATCCTTATGAATCCCTAGGGAAATAGTCTAAGCTCCATGTTTCTGCTTACCATCATATCCCCAGAAAATACAATGATGCTTGACATAGGAGTTACAAATATTTAGTAATTAAATGAGTCGTTGTAATGCCCAAGCCGTTTCCACT